TGATTTGTGCCTTTTTGGAAGGCAGACATTTAGAGCTTGTTTGGCTGGCTACTCTTTGTCCATTCTTGAAAAGTATGTATGACTGTGTTTCATCCAGTATACAAAATACAGAGTATATAAAACATGTTTTCTATTTTTAACTTTTAAAAACTTTTCTAAAAGTTATATATAAAAAACAACAATTTTCTATAGCCTCTGGGATTGCTGGTTCTGAAAGTAAACAATTAGGAAGGATTTTTGAGTAACACTCTCCTGATAAATACCAAGGTAATATGGGGTCTGGAATCTAATATTATGACCAGGCTAATATTAACTCTCATTTCCCTGGGGCAATCACTCCCTGGATATTAGTCCCTGAGGCCACTGGAAAATCAACTCTAAGGCCAACAACATGCCAGTAAATGTGGCTATCATTTGCTATTGAAAACCTTACTATTTCAGATTTTATCTCAATTATAAAATACCACAGATCTAGTTGTGTATATATTGTGTTGCATATGAGCAAAGAGTTCTTATCATGCTTTTGGAATTTTACATACTTACCGCCAAGACATAACTTTCTTTTTCTATTTTAGATACAGAACCTTGATAAGTAGTTCATGCTGACCTTGAACTCTGGATCTTCCTGCTTCAGCCTCCTAAATGCTGGGATTTCAAGTGTATTCCACCATATCTATACCATTTTGAATCTATAAAAACCTTTGTTTAGAATGTAGATCCATAACAGGCAGAAATATACACATAAGCTTTGAAACTGATAATCCCTATAGAATAGTCCTTCTATATAAGTTCTAAGTGAATTCTAGCTAAGTCCCTTATTATTATTTTTATTTTCCTGAATATTTGTACATGTCTGTCAGACTGTGAATTCTCTGAGAGTGAAGGCCAGTCTTATATGCATATCTATATTCTTTCATACTAAACACTTAAAAGACTTGGATGAAAGAAATCCTTGTCTACTGAATAGGGAACAAGCAAAGTCTGGACATGTTGGCATACACCTATAATCTTAGCACTTGGAAAACCAAAGCAAAGGATCCCAAGTTCAAGGTCAGTCTACATAGATAGACTTCAAAAAAACAAAAACATAAGCCAGGCATGGTAGTGAATGCTTATAATCTCAGCACTTAGGAAGCAGAGGCAGGAGGACCCTTTCAAGTTCATGGTCAGCCTGGTTTACACAGCAAGTTCCAGGCTAGCCTGGGCTACATAGTAAGGCCCTGTCTCAAAAAATCAAACCAAACCAAACCAAAATAAAACCAAGAAACAAGCAGAACAACAGACTGACCTATTAATTTAGTTTGTTAGGTACATTTATAGCTTTTAAAATAAGCATCAGTTGAAAACTATATCATTGACTGACATTGCATTAAAATATTGAGTTAACTTGCTTCTAGAAGCTCTTCCTTCCTTTAAAGCAGAGTGTCCTATAAAGTATAGGTTAGTCTGCCTCTTTTGGCTGTGAGTCTTTAGAAAGAAACTTTCAGTAAGCATAAAACTACAAAGTTTGGCTTTAAAGCTTCATTGGAACAGCATCTTCCTTGGGAAGATAACTTACTTGCTGCATTTTGTTTTCAAAAGGAAGAGAGAATGATCCTGACATTCATAAAGTTTACTTGACAAAGAAGATGCAGCTTTTGGAAACTGACCATATTATGCTGACACATTCCTTCTGAATATTCAGCTTGATGATCTCAATGCCCACTAGAATCATAGCAGCTATCTTTTCTGTTCAAATATGTTGGTCTCTATATTTATAATCACAGTAAACCTTAAGTTATGAGTAAAGCATTCTAGGTATGGATGAGACTGGTGAAGATAACTACCTGACCCACACCCTCCAGAATGAACAAGTCTGTGTTCCTAACATGTATGAGTTTAGCGATCAGAACCAGCCACTCTTCTATACATTTATCTTTCTGAACATAGAAAATGCCTTCAGTGACCACCTAGTTCCCTATGTGCCCTTTCCCACTACAGTAAAGAAGTGGAGTGAACTCTGAAAGGCATAGTTTTTCATTTTTCTATGCTCTAAAAGCTGCTTTCCAACCCCAAAGAGAAAAACTCAAGTAATCAATGATTCTTAGACTTTTTACTCGTTAACAGCAGTTTGCTAAATGCTTCAGACTGTATTTATTTGGAAGTTAGCATCAATCTAAAAGAACATGTTCAAGCAGGAAAGTAAATAGGCTTAAATGCTAACCTTCCAAGACCTAAATTCTGGCTTTCTATAGACATTACTGAAGGGGAAAAAAAAATCCTATAATTAGCAACAAGGAACAGCATAACCATGCAGTGCTTAGCACGGGTTTCATCAGAGAAACAGGAAACAATTTTAACACGACATGTTCACTTTAAAAAAAGAGTATTCTAACAAGGCTTCAGTTATGCTTTCAAATCTGTCTATGTATGGCACCATCATGACAGTTAAGGTATATTTCCAATTATGTTCGATATAAAAAGACAAAATTTCTCACAAAGGAAAAGTATCTTTTGTGGGAAATCTAAATTTAAACCTTCTAGTTTAAAACCCTAAACATTGTCCAAACAGGGAAACTCTGTAAGCATACTTCAGGGTTTTTAAAGCAATCAGCATAGCAATGTTAATGATCATAGCTCTCAAAAAAACAGAGGAGCACTGTATAAGGAGTACTGTATAGAAGACCCTCACAGTTATGCCTCTGCGTATTCTGTGGGCTGTGCCAACCCACTCTCTCCCCTGTAATGAGTCTTTGTTTTTACTAAGTCCCAAAGGGTGGGGAGAGCTCTCAAAGGGGAAGGGGGAAGGGCAGATGGAATGCAGCTGCAGGCTCTAAAACAATGCTGAGTCCATATATTTTGTTCCCAGTAGAATAATAAAAAGGGTAGGATGTTGATGAGATAGACCCAGAATAAGCAAGGTAGGGTCCAGCATCCTACATCTCTGTGCTTCTAACCCTCATTTGCTATACAAATACAATCACCATTTGGGCTCAAACATACATTAAGAGTTAAAACCATCATTCATTTATAAATAACTTACTTTATCAACAAACTATATACAGGCCAGGGATAGTGGGAAGGAGAGTGGTGCAGGCAAAGATAAAGAGGTGGGGGAGGGGGTGGACATAGGGGGTCAAGGATAGCTATGGGGAGGAGTAGGTAGAGAACTGGAGAAGAAAGCCCAAGGTCTCAACTGTAAACTGCTCATTCTATAGTGGTACAGAGGACTTGGGATAATTAGTATGCCCAGAAAACCATGCTCCCCCAGAGATGGCTAAAAGCTGCAAGTGACAGAACTGAAAGGCTTTGGAAGCCCCAAATATTGATTCTCTGTCATTTAGTCCTTCAGTTTAACTTGGTGCCTTTATTTGCATTTCCTTAGCCTGATATCCCAACTGGGTTAAAGAGAGAATTAGCAGCAGTCCCAGAACAGCAGTGGAGCCCTCTAACTCCTAGGAGAAACATGTCTCAAACCTTACTTTCCTGCCCTAGATGTTGCCCCTCCTCCAAGATAACCCTTTACTGAAAATCCATGGAGCTCTCCAGGGCGCCAGGACTCAGGCCTGCCACTTGAACTTCCCTTCAAATATTCTTGATGCCATTAAAATCTGCAGGAAAACTCCAGAGGTCTTAAATAAACTGAACTAATCCCTCAAATATAGAATCAGTATACAAGACTACGTTTAAGTTATACAACAAAATTCAGAACACTTGTTCCAATTAGGATCCCATCCATGAACCTTTAAGTCACTAAGGGAGAAGAAAGGACCTCACTGTAAAGCTGTCATGCAGAAGAAGCAAAGCTGACATCCGCACAGACACCTCCTTCAAGTTAGTATTATATGATTAAGAAATACTGTACGCTTAGTCCATTGAATGATATAATTAATTTGACTCTTGAAATATTTTCAAGTTATAAAGTTTAGAAAGATTGCGTTTATTCATATTGATACTTTCATATTTGTGATGTTACAAAAATTTCCACATGTATAGATATACAGATCTGATCTTCCTCTTTCAGCTTGCCTTTTCTCTAGAAACCCTAAAGTTCATTTATAGGTAAACCAAATGTCCATGCTACAGCTTGTATATAGGGAGAGAAATGCATATTAATTCAAGTGAGGAGGTGAACTAATGGTTTATTTATTTTGTTCATCTAAATATTAACAGCAACAATTAAAAATAATATTGCCGGGCAGCACACGCCTTTAATCCCAGCACTTGGGAGGCAGAGGCAGGATCTTTGTGAGTTTGAGGCCAGCCTGGTCTACATAGTGAGTTCCAAGATGGCTGGGGCTACCAGCAGACCCTGTCTCAAAAAGACCAAAAAAAAAAAAAAAAAAAAAAAAAAAAAAAAAAAGTAATAATAGTTTTCCTGTAAAGTTTATCAACTATTGCAAATACAAAATTCACAGGTCCATTTAAGTAAAATGTCTCATATAGCATGCTTGTTGGTTTTGGTGCTGGGGACTGGACCCAAGTCCTTGCACGCACTGCAACAATACCTCAGTGTATTATGCTTTTTAATGCAGCCATAAGATATACAAAACTGTCTATTTTGTACATTAGCAAAGCTTAATTTCTATTTATATATTTAATTTCCTAGTGTATACAATTAAAAGAGTAAGTATATAGATAGTAAAATTTTACTAATAGCAACAACAATAATAGTCATAGCTTGCATGAAATCAATTCTTGGTTTAATTCAGTTCTTTGTTGTGGTAAATAAAATACATTCACATAATACTTTGATGTTTGAATTTTCAATGAAAAAGTTCAAATACACAGTTACCCATGATTTGGAAGAAACTCAGTAACTGTATCTAAATTAGTTTTTAAATAAAAGACAAAGCATCTTAATAAAAAAAGACAGAAATTTTCATTTAGTCATGAAGCTCACAAAATATGAATGACTGATTATATTGAGAGGGTTAAAAAAAAGAGGGTAAGATGAAAGCAAATTATTACACACACACACACACACACACACAATTTTTTTTCTAAATAGGAGTACTCACCCCTTGGAGTCCTTGAAACTGAATCGAAGGTCGAAAAGGAATTAAATTCTATTAAAAAAAAAAAAGAAACATATAAACCTTAATTACTGTGACACAGAACTAATTAAACTTCAAATCTATGTATTTTCTCAATTCCATAGTTGAAAATCTTTTTATTACATGCCTACTTTAGCATGTAATCATATTAAGGTACCTTGATAAGTTGTTTACATTTAATCATACAAACAAAGAGTAGTTATTGGCAATATAGTAATCATGATTTCAATCATGACATGATTTGCAAGAGAAAAAAGTATACTAATTCAAACTTACAAAAAAAATTCTTGCTTAGTTTCCTGATGTATTTTTAATAGGGGTGGGAAAAGAGAAGAGATAATTGGAGGAACTCTGAAAAAAAAAACAATAGGATGCCACAAATATAAAAAATTTAAATATTCAGGAATCAACTGCAGCTCTCCCTCCTCCCTCCCCATTTTACCAGAGATTAGTTTTTGCTTAAGAGTCAAAAAGGCTGCCAATTTTCTTACAAAATTCTTACTAGGAGAATATAATTTCTAGAAAATTTGTTTTCCTTTTATTATTAGCTTTGACTTTTTTTTGGTAACTTCACTATTTTATCATTGAGTTGTACATTTGAAAGAACAGCTGTAACTGTAAATATCAGTCACAGTTTCCAGCACGATTCACTGTACTCAGTCACTGTTATGTTTGTCAGGGGAAGACTTTCTAAATTGCTAACACAATTCATAGGGAGATATATATCAGCCTATAAACTATATTTCATTCCCTTATGTCCAAGTCCAATGACAAAAATAAATAAAGTGGTGTTTGCTCTCATTTCTACCTGAAATAGAAATGGAGGTGCCTCTATATGCCCTTCTCTTTAGCCACAGCATGTCACTTGTTACTTTCAGTCACTTCCCCAAACTTCTGTGTGGATTTAAAAAGCTTGCTAATCAAGGAGGGGAGAAAAGGATAAATCAAAACAAACAACAAAAAACTCACCCTTTTTTTTGTTTTGTTTTTGAGACAAGGTCTCCCTGTAGCCCCAGCTGGCCTGGAACTTGCTTTATAGACCAAGCTGGCTTCAATCTCATAGAGATGTGGCTGCCTCCCAAGTGCTGGGATTAAAGGCATGAGCAACTATACCTGACCATATATATATATATACATATATATATATGCACACACACATAGTACTTTTCATTCATGAGGGAATCTCACCCCCAAATATCTTCTGTAATTAAATTTATTCTTCCTTAGGGCAGGCTGGTCTCTGTAAAATTGAGGCCAGCCTGGTCTACACAATTAGTTCCAGGTCAGCTGGCACTACAGGGAGACTGTGTCTCAAAAAGACTGTAAATAAACAAATAAATAATAAAAATTTTACTCTTTCTGAAGTAAAGAAAGCATGTACACATGTCTGCCAACTGTGAAGCCCCTTCTTGTGCAATCAGGGTGGCCCTTCAACTCACATGCTGCCTACAGTTCACCATTGGTAATACAATTCTCCATCAACTCTTCTGTGTCAGATAAATGCAACCCCTTTCTCAATTTTCAAATTGCTGACTTCTCTACTGGGTATCACCCTTCCTTGTACTAAGAGACAGCAGTCTTTCATTTCAAAAGCTAGTACCCTTCCTTCCTCAGTCTAGGTCAGCTCCACCCTGGAGGCTTGCTGTACCTGTATGATAATGACTGGGTCTTTTCTCCGTTCCTCAAATCTCATCTCTCCATACTCCTCAGTACTGCCCACAGAACAGTCTACATTATAAATACTCAATGCTGTGAATCTTTGGTGCCTGGCAAACACATGTCTCCAACCAAACAAGGAACTTTTCTGCTTTTCTGGCAATGGCATGCCTGTTCTTGGTTCTCCAGGTTTACAATCTCAGAATTAATTTACAATCTCTTCTCACTTCTCTACTCCATATTGTTAGTCAATTACATGTAATTAGAATTCCTATTCCAGAAGAAGGCTTAGAAATCATAATTGATACCTTCTCCTTCATTCTTAGTTCCTGTGTTCTATTAATAACTAAGCTGGGAACAGAATCTAGGACTCAGTCCTCCTATTTCATCCTGTTACTTTTCTCATACTATCTGGTACTCCACATATATTTGCTATGGGAGAGCCAAGAATGTGAGGGCCTAATTCCCCAGGCAGGGTTCATGTGCTAACTGGGAAAAAAAAAATCTAAGACTGATCCAGCACTAGGTTACATACTACTAGGAAGTACACTAAGAATTCCAAAGAAAAGGAGAATATGAGTTAATAGATACTAGAAAATCCAAAGGGACCATGGGAAATGTAGATCTTGACTAGCTGATTAGAGAAAATAGGCTCAAGGGAAAGAGAGTTTGAGGAAAAAAGCAAGGAGGCAGGGATGGCCTTTGCACGGGCAGAGGGGAGGTCTGTACTGCACAGTCCTTTCATACTGGAAACAAAAGGAAGGACAGAGACAGGACCCCATGACTCTTGCTGAAGCTTTCCTGCCCTTGAAATCTGCCTTTGCTTTTAGGTCCTGCCTGCTACAGAATAAATGAAACAATTTAAATTTCAGACTTCAAGATGCCTACTCAAAAGGTTTATTCCTGCTTTGAAATAACCTTATCCAAAGCCTCTCCTTAACCTCCTACTTACGATCTTTAAGTCTTATCTTAAATGTGATAAATAACTAGAGGTTTTTCCAATTTCTGAATAAGAAAGTGAAGTAGAAAGAAAAAGGAAATGAATTGTTGAAAGTATTTTGGGGAGAAGGCAGCTTTTAGCCATGTGCAAAACATATGAAGATGGATTGGAGTAGAGAAAGGTTGGGAAAATGGCTTTGAAAACAGCTCCAGGGGATGCTTTAGAAATACTCTGGTGATAGAAGCCTAAATTAGTATAACCACATTTGAAGTCACCAGGAGATGTTGGACATGCAGACATTCCCAAGAAAGAATGATAAGATGTGTTGACAACTTGAATATCAGTCACCAAGGAAAAATGATATCAAGATGGCTCCAGGGCTACCAGTCATCAACTCTAGGCAGTCTGCCCCAGACTGAAATTAAGCTTTTAGTCTCCTTTGGAGGTTCATGGTCCATTTCAGGCCCTCATCACCTGGCACCAGATAAAGGCCTTCCTCCAAACATCCAAGTATTCAAATAGCTAGCTAGTTCTGTCAGACACAACTCAGCATGTCACATAGCCTTAAGTAGTTCTTTCCCACTGTCTACCAAGCAAAGAGAACTCTTTCATAGACATCCACACTACTTATGTACCTGAGCACCGCAAGTTAGGCTATTAGGAATAAGTTCTAAAAGTAAATACCACTCTGACTAATGTTTCAAGCATGTTAGATTTTTGTCCAAATGTTTCTTGCCTAGTTATTGTTAAAAGAGTGATATGTTTGGAGCTGGGAAGATGGTTCAGTGGGTAAAGTACTTGGTGCACAAGCATGAGGACCTGAGTTCAGATCCCTAACACCCACAAAAAAAATCAGGTATGGTGGTGTGGCCCATGACTGTAGTCCTAGCACTGGGGTAGAGACGGGTGGATCCCAGGGGCTCACTGGCTAGTAGCCAAAAGGTGAGTTCCAGGTTCAGTGACAGACTCTTTCTCAAAAATATAAAATAAAATAAAATAAAATAAGGCAGAGAAGTGATTAAGGAAGATATCCAGTGTCAACCTCTGGCCTCCTCGTGTGTCTGCAGAGGTGAGTGCACTCACATACACATGTGCACACATGCATAATACACACATACACACACAGAGATTAATACTCAAATCACTGTATATTAAAATAAAATTTACAAAGCAAGTAAATTTTAAAAGATAATTATGGGAAGCCCAATATGGCATGGCATACTTAAAGCAATGCTTAGCTTACTAAGTGCATTTATTTCTATTAGGAATGAATTTTGGTGGAGCTTCAATCTTTGTTGCTTAGTTTTATTAAATATTTGCACCAAGTACCTCTTTTAAAAATCAAATAACTCTAGAATTTAACTAAACAGCATTTGAGCAACAAGTAAGATAGTGATCTGGTGTCTACATCCAGCTAAGAAACATTGGGACAAATTAGAAACAGGAAAACTGACAAATGTTTCAAAAACACTGAAGGTGAAGCTTTCTAGTCAAAAGCTTCTGCTAAAATCTTAGTAGTTTCACTGATTTTATTTCTTAAACTAACCTTCTTTGCCTTGTAAAGACAGAAAATTTTAAGTACAGAATATAAATACAGACTCCAGGGCTGGAGAGATGACTGACTCACTGGTTAAGAGCACTTGCTTGGAGAAAACACAGGTTCAATTCCTAGCACCCACATGATGGCTCATAATTGTCTATAACTCCAGTTCCAGGAAATCCAAAGTCCTCTTTGGCCCTCTTTGGTTTCTGCATGCATGTGGTACACATAAACTCATGCCAACTCACACACATATGCATAAGAATGCTTTTTAATATATATATATATATATATATATATATATATGTATATGGGACATCCTTAGCTATGTTAGTACTACCATGGTAGTACTGCACATGGTAGCTCATGCCTGCAGTGCCATCACTTGAGAGGCTGAGGCAGGAGGATCACAAGTTCAAGGAAAGCCTGGGCTTCATAGTGACCACCAGGACAGTCTAGGGTACATAATTAGACCTGTCTCAATACCAAAAACTATCAAAATCTCATATGATTTCATTATAAATTATGAGTTTAATTCACTTCAATGAAAGAGAAATGCATCTGAGTTTACAGTTTTAAATGTTCCTGTAGATTTTTATAGATTGTTTATGAAACCCAAATTTTCAAATGTTTAGTTACTAATGAGGTATTTAAACCATGAAATAGAAACCTTCAGTTAACTGTATTATGCCATACTTCGGTTATTTCCCACTGTTCCTCTCAATACGACTAAACTGAACATGAAGATCTTCAGGAGCTTCAGGAGTCATTTATTTTGATCCATTCCCTTGCCTGATTCAAACTGTCTGGATTCATGTATGAATTACTGTTGTTTCAGTACACTTGTTCAATTTCTATAGCATCTGAGTTTTAAAA